TAAAAAGGAATATCAATTAATTCCCATAGTAGGTTCTGTGGCATATTTAATAATTGGTACGCAAGAAAAACATTGAGATATTCGATTAAGAGTTGATAACTGGTGATATGGTGGTTACATTKATCATTTGGCCRTCAGGATGTTAATTTAGAAAAAAAATCAATGACAGCATTTAAAGATAATGTCTATATTACAACATATTGCACGGTCTGAACTCTGCGGATGGTGACAGATAGACTAACTAGGTACTATTACAATTATTACAAGATATTAAAATAATTAAAAATGGTTTCCGTTTTCGTACACGGCAATAATACAACTATAAAAACATAAATATATAGTAATAATAATTAAAATCACTACATTATATTATTTATTTATTTTGATTTTATTAATSATACGAGTAATCCCGACAACTATGGGCATTAKCTACAGAGGCGTGATCTAGGGGAACAGGGGAGCATCTTGGTAATGCCCTTTTTATCAACATTGAAAATTTGGTATAAAAAAGTTAATTTTATACTTTGTTTATGGTTAAATTAAAATAAAACATTATAAATGTAAATTTGATAGTAAAATGAAAAATGTAACACTCATTTTGAGAAATATAAGAGGTAGGATTCTTAACGGGCTATACGAAGTGCATGGGTTCAGCTTAATATAATAATTTAATGATAATAATTATTATGATTAAATAGTTAACACTAGTTTACTATTTATTAATGATAGTGCCTAATCTATTGATGTTGTGATTAATATTGGTGTTTGTTACATGGCAGTTATAGTTTTAAATACAACATCAGGAATTAACGAATAGATATTTGTATACTCATTTATTAATTTTTAATTATTTTCAAGACTATGTATCAAAATTCAATAAAACTGTGTTAATATGGTATTTATATTTAGTTTGATACTTTTATTATTATTAAAATTGACCTATAGACCTATCATGATTCTATGATTATAATATGTCATTAGTTAGATTGCGTTGTATGTAATAATATTTTTTGGTATTTCAAAATAATCTTGCATTGTATACATAAAACAAAATAATTTAAACAGAATACTTAAATAATATATAAAATGATAACCATAATTAATAAATAATTAATAATTAATAACATGCATTGAAGCTTATCAAACTTCGGTACAATATTGTACATAAATTGTTTCAGACTACTATTAACATAACCATTAACCTAATCCATAAAGGTATGCGTAGGTACTTATATAAATGTTAAATATTTAAATTGTAGGTTTATATAATACCATATGTTCTACTATTGTTAAAATAAATAACACAAATCAGTACTTCAGTACYATAAAACGTCGTAAATTTAAATACAATATGGTGTATATTTTTTTAAAGAAATATGTATTTTTGGCGTTGGATTCAACATTGTTTTTTCTGGCATAACAGTTTCCATGGAAATAAGCAATTAAATAATAACTWCAATAATATTATACACCGATTAATCGATTTTAGGTTTTATAGAGCAAATTGTTATTCAAATATATCAATTATTGTTTATACAATTTTTTGTGCTACAAGATTTTTTTTATAATTTGTATGTTAACTRTTGTTAAGTATACGTTTATTATAAATACTATTCATAGCTTACGGCAATATTAAATAYGCTACGTAGAAACTWTTTCCGGCAGAGGGTGTGGTAGATCATTTTGTATTATAAAAATAAATATAATCCATAATAATTGACGACCACTGTCGCTCCATGATTTACGACACCACAATCGAACGTTTAGWATTTACTACATTAGGTATTGTGACGGCACTTGCAGAGATTGAGATTTTTACTTCTGATTTATTAACATTGAATAATATTTTATTTTGGCCAGATTTTCAATCGTCAGTTAGCTTACTGGCAGTTAAATTTATGTCCTGGTTATCCTGCTATTTGTTTATCGAAGCTCGTTTATGCTAAACGAAAGGCTAAACTAGCAGTTAAACTAATCGCTAATATTTCTTGCTGTTAAACGTTTAATTGCAGATTGACCTAGATATCATGGAATTATTTTAAAATAAAATCAGATAACAATAAAATAAATGCTAATTTGAAAGTAATTATCTTTTCAGTATTTTTCCAACTTTTCCATTATAATCGTATAATTTTTAATGAGAACAAATTAAATTTTGTAATATTTTTTTTTATCCATCATTGACTTATTAGACCTCGATGATACCCTAATCGAGGAAAATATCGTAACTAAATTTTGTAAAAAATAATTAACATTTTCAGCTTTCCTGTTTGAGTTTTATAAGAATCTTATTATTCATGGCTTGCTACTGCTATTTTTTATGAGTTAATAATAAATAATAATATGTTAAATAAGGCCGGTGATACACACATGAGAAATTTGTTTCATAAAATTTGTTTTTTACAATGAATCACACGAAACATATTTCATGGCCAATACACACAGAACAAATTTGTTTCATAAATATTTTTTTACCTACCCACCATTTAGTTCACCCAGCTCGTTTTAGTTGGTCTAAAGATGTCGTCCGATGATGACATTATTGTTCTGCAGTRGTGGTTAAATCGAAATCAATAGGTATTAAACTTTTGCATTATTTTTTTTTACATTTTTACTATTACCTATTGATATTTGTACTTTTGAAACAAATTTCTCATGTATGTCATCGGCCYAAAATATCAAACTACGTGAATACATAAGATACTTTAGTCATATACAGTGGGTATTTTAGGTATAAAAAATGAAAATCGTAGCTAAGACTTATGGCCAAGGTCTCAAATTCGGAAGTTTAATTGGAGAAATATACCTAATTTATTTATAATTGCAAAATACATATAACGCTTAAAGATCTGACAAACCAAATAAACTATACTAGGTAATAATAATTTTTATCGGGTTTTAGAGTAATTTGTGATAGATTTCAACCCACCAAGTCTAATCTTTCCTTCCAAAAATATGATACTAGACTTCACTGGTTTCATTATAGTTTGATCGATATTTTGTGTGTCTGTCCACAGATTTCACGGGCTTTCCTATAAGGCGAAAAACGAGAACATTGTCGAGTTCATGGAGATGGTTGCCGATGTGAGAGAGACGCATTGGTCCGAAGTCGGCGAGTGGATTTTACAGCCCAGCGTACTCCAGGGACTGTTTTCGGTAGCCATTGAGAGACTTAAAGAACGTCACATTTCGGGTGATGGGTGCGGTGACGACGAAGTCAAGTGGATTACTAGATTCCAGACAGAAATGTTGGCCGATACGATGAAATCGTTGAGGCGCGTGGTCGTTCCCACCGAACCAATTGCTGTCCTGTGCCACGGCGACTTCAACCGGAACAACCTGCTGTTCCGGTACGACGATGGTGGCCGGCCGGTGGACGCGCTGGCGTACGACTTGGCCACCATACGGTACGGGTCGCCGGCCTTAGATCTGTCGTTCTTCCTGTACATGAACACGGACCGCAGGACCCGGGACGATCACTGGGACGCGTTGCTGGACGCGTACTGCGATGCGCTGGCCGCGGCCACCGGCGACGTCTCGGTCCCGTTGCTGGACCGCGATCGGTTGAACGCCGAAATAAGCGAATACGGATTCCATGGTCTGGCGCACGTGTCGTATTTCGCACGCGTAATGTTGGAGGAACGTCCCATCAAACAGGAGGTTTCCGAAGAGTTCTTTAACTTCGATGAACTACAAGTATTGAACTTGTTGGTATCAAATGGCGGAGAACCGGCCACCGAATGGGTGGCCGATACCTTTCAACACTTTATCCGCTGCAAGTACGCCAGAACACCCGCYGCCAATGAAAACGACATATCGGTCGGAAATTAAAATATATTGCGATGAATCGCGATAACCATGTTATCGCGAACCAATGTCGGCAAACTGTTGTTGGCTGTTTTATTTTTACTGTTGGTTTCTCGTTAAAAACACTCAAAATATTACATTCTCAGGTCGTGGAATAAAATTATAATGTTCAATCATGTTTTAGATTTGTTAAAAAATGATTTCGGAAAGACATCGTCATAAGTGCTTGACGACATAGGTAAAAGGCTTGCTTCCGCTTTTCGATTTGTGCGTGTTCATTTTTATATGCCAAACACACTCAGTGTTCACTGTTCAGAGTATGCTAATCAATCACGCTATTATTGTTTCCTCTGTTTTCCACCAGAATATATTATATTAAATTTGTGTTCCAAAATTCCGGCATGTCGTTGCCGATTAAAAAATGTACATTTATCATACAGTACTATAARACGTTGATATTATCCGTGTTCTATTGTAGGTTTTATTCTATGTTTGTTTCGATTTTTTAAGTAAAAACAATTTTAAATCGTACGATTGAACTAGCTATGTAAAGCAGCGACAACGAACGTATTGAAKACGCTTTTTCTTAATAGACAGATTGAAAAAACAAATTTCCAATTAAAAATACCTACCTACCATGATTATCCAAATCATAATTAATTTATATTCTGTTCATATTTCAACTGAGGTTGTGAACCTCGATTTACCATGGTATGCGGAAGTTTTTTTTACGTGAAATTAGAATACTGCAGTTATGTTGTCGATATTATAATGTACCTACCTACAAATAGATTTTTTAAATGTTTAAAATGTTATGTAACGTAATAYAGTGTAAGAATTGTTATCGTACATTGTTTTTGTTAAGATACGGTATGTGATAATATTAGRTAAATTTACATGCGCATTAATGTAAGTAAGTTTATTTCCTAAAAACAATTAAACTTTTATCACGATGGTAATGGTCGATGGTGCAATAAGAGTAAACACGGATTACACATCTAAGTGATTGTTTTCAATGTTCAAATCATGCACGTATATAATCAAATTATGTTGGTCTACTCAGTAGATATTTTCCTATAAACACCAAGAATCAGTCTTTATGACATTAAAATTTTAAGGAACAGTATATAGACAACTATTTCGTCCATAAATCAAATCGTTGTAATTAGTTGCTAACCTAGAAAAAGATAATCAACAACGACGTCCGTATTCAATAAAAACGAATAAAATAACAAAAATAATAATAATWATTATTATTATATATTATATCTAGTTTATTTTTAAAGTTTGTTTACAAAATTAGAATAATAAACATAAATAGCGATTTATTATGTATCAGATAAACTTAATATAATCGTTTATATTAGGTAGGTATAATAAATTAGACGTAGATCACTTTGTTAATTAGATAATTATTACGTTTATATGAAGGCGTATAAAAACGGTTTAAAAAATGTAAACTGTTTTAAAAGTTAAAACGCTCGCACTAAGTAGTTTTAGAGCTTAAAACCGATTTAATTTCAAATCGTTTTAACCTCATCATATAAACGTAGGTAGTGAATGCTGTAATAAATATAATTGATCGTTAGGTTTTATTCAAATAAATTACTATAAATAAAATATTATCTGGTAATTACTGTTAAATTAAATTTTTTTTTTTTTGATTACAATATGTAACTCTTATTAAGTTAATTTACAAATATGTACAAGTAATTGTTGCTTGGTAATAACTTCTGTGCTTTATAATGTTATGATAGTATTATACCATAAAATCTATTTAATATGTCATTACTCATTATATAATAATATATGTAGGTATACTATATACTAGAAACCAATATAATATAAACGAAATCCACAAAATAAACAAAGTTGATTAAATTGAAAAGTATCTGATGCAAATTTTATATTTTATGAATAATACTTACAAAGTATGTGGTAAATATGTCATAGATGAGTAGCTTCATAATATTAGAAATATATTAAACCTTGAAAATATAAGGACTAAAAGGATTTGCAAAAAAGTATTTACCTAATCGTTGTAAAGTCGTGGYAGTAATTAGACACAATCGATTTGTATATTCCATTCTATCGATGTGTTTCACTAAGTACCTAATTTTATAAAATCAAAGGTGAATTTAATAAAATTCTGTTTGGTAAATAATTCAACATCAACAAAATACGAACTTTTCAAAACATCGCACTACGAGATATCTCATCCTAGTCTCTAACCACTCAATACATTATTTGGAGCTATAATAATGAAATCAAAAATTTAATACCAACATTATGAACGTCACTTATCGAAATCACTATGATTTATTTTATAAATATGYTCTTAAAATAACTTAGAATCATTTATATTACTCTTTGTATATCTTCTAAGAATTTTAAACACAACAGTAATATTATTACTTTTAACATTTTTCGCATAAAAATCAAAAAGTTATAGTAACAACAATAATTATTATTATACATTATGTAAAAATATTAGAYACTTAATTTTAATTTCTTTTACTTTGTAGATCTTTAACATTGAGTTATTTTAACTATATTTTATATAATATGTGAATATTTATTCAATTGCAAAATATTTGGTATTCAATAAATTAAGAAACTCATATTTATTTTAAGTGTTTTAATTTAATTTTAAGATAGATTTTAACCTTATTTTATACCTACTTAAAGTGCTTCCATCATTAGTTGTCTTTTTTAATGTACCTATCTGAACCATATGCTTAAACAAATAAACAATTGATGTAATTGATAAATCCAATTTATTCATATTTAAAAACAAATTTGGCTAACTATCTTTKTATTGTTTGTTTTATAAAATGTAGTATAATTTTGGAATAGTACAACAAATTATTAGGAATATAGAAATTTCTAATATTTCTTTCCATAGAAACATAAAATACATACTATAATTAAATTGCTMAYGACTTAAGTTATAAAAGTACTCAATTATATTATAACAACTGAGTAAGCGTTTACCCAATTTGGCAATAAATWAATTTTGGAAATATACTTTTCAACACAAAATAATATTGCAATAAGTAACTTGAAGTTGTTGATATAAATAACATTAATTAGTACTCAATGGTAAAAATATGTAGACATTTTTTCAAAACGAATTTGAACAATACATTTTTTTTATACAAAAATAACTTACCATATTGGTTAATTTAATCATTATAATTGATTGACATACAGAGTTTGAAACTGTATTTTATTGTTTTACAATAATTTTTTGTGTAATTATTAATTTGTCAAAAAATAACTAGAAATTTAAATACAACCCATCCATTACAACGACATACTCGATAACTATTGTACAGCACACTGGTACTCACTTGTCCACATTATTTATGTAACTACCTATAATCTTATGCATTTTTAGTTAATGATTTACGAATACAATTCTATTCTACTTAAAATAAAAAAATAACTACCCACAATATTATACATTCTCAAATATCAGTCCACATTCTTGAAAAAAAATTTATTTATTTATCATTTCAAGAAAATTGCTAAAAAAGTTAACAAACTAATAGATTTCAATTTCAKTCAATCAATTAAAATAAAGTATCATTATATACTTAACATACATAACCTATTAATCAATAGTGCCTAACTAGTAACTATTATGGCAATATAATGAAATATTTGTTATACAAATTTAATTATATCAAATACTTTAATAAACTAAATTAAAATGGTGAAGTYTTATATTAACGCATAAGTCCTAAAAGGGTAGATTATATATTTATAATCAAGCTATTTGAGTTGGGGATTCAATCTAATATTGGACATAATAGATCCGAATCTACAATTTTTAATTTAATGTTGTTAAAAGATAAAAATAAAGCTGCACTCTTTTTATGGTTGAGTACCGATAAATATGAGGTCATCATTAAATGCAGTAGAAATCAATTCTAATGTGAGAATAAGGACCTATTATATTTACACTAGGATGAATCAAAACATGAACAGACACTGTACAGAAATCATGATTGATATACAGAGTGGGAAATTATATTTCATAGTTTTGTGGTGTTATCTGAATGGACTTAAAATTATAAAATTTAGTGGCTACCTGAGACCTGACTATTTATTTTTCAAACAACCATACCACCAAAACAAAATATCTTTATTTAATATTAATTCATAATACAGCCTACAATTGATTAAAATAAAAAATGTAAATTATTGCACTTAATAAATAATAAAAATTATTTCAAAACTGAAATTTGATGATAATAGCAACGTTTATTATAGTGTATACACTTCACTTGAATAATAAATGAAGTGTTAAGATAATAATGTAGTTTATTGAATAGAACGATAWCAGAACTTAAACTCAGTTAGTACTTACTCAATGTTATGAGAACTATAAAGTTGAACATATGTGGATAAATTAATCCTTACATATTAAAATGGATTCTTTATTGCGAAAAGAACTACCAGAAATTGTCAGCAGTGGTGCGTTTGGAAAAAATCTTGAATATGTTTCTTTTGAATTAAACAAAGATCAAGTTGGACAGGCTCAGTACATGTCAACAGTATTATTTGGTACAGTTACCACATCCGACGAATCAAAATATCATGTTGTGGTCAAGTTAAAACTTCGAGATGAAGAAATGAGAAAAAAGAGTAAAATCGACTTCCAATTCCACAACGAAATTGCAATGTATGAAAGAGTTATACCATTTTTATTTCAATGCCATCGTTCTATATCAGGTATCGGGGACTGTCCCACATTACCTCGATATTTTTACGGTCGTAATAAATGTGGCGAGTTTATTGAAAAAGATTTAGTAATATTGGAGGATGCCCATCCACTAGGATTCAAATTGTGCGAAGATCGTCTGTTCATGGACTATGATCACTTAATAATTGGGTTACAAGCGTTAGCGAAGTAAGTAAACATAATAATACTTTGAGTTAAAAACAAATTCAATGATAAGTATGTACAGTGAAACCTCCTTTAATGGACACATCGCGAAGTGGACACCTCCAAAAAGTGGACGACATTTAAACGACCAAGAGTGTCCAGTATTTAGAGGTTTCACTGTAGATATATTGATGGTCGAAATGTTCACTTTATTCACGAAATATTATATGACAGTTAGTACGCTTTTAATTTCACTGAAAATATATTAAAATTGTTCATGTGTTATTTGACATGAACGAGGCCTGATTCTCAAACTTAGGAACATAAATAAACAATGGAAGAATACAATTTTAAATAGCTCAAAAAATATGTAAAGGCACTTATATAGTTTAAATATTTTATTTACTTTCAGGTTCCACGGGTTGTCATACATAGCGAAAAACAAAGACCACGGCCGCTTAAAAAAAATTGTTATGGACATTCGTGACACAACGTTTGGGGAGGATGGAAAGTGGAAATTTAAGAACAACGCATTAATTAGATTTAGTAAGCGAGGAGTCGATCGGCTGCTTGAACGTAGCGGTGACCTTTATCGGGAAAACGAGCACTTACGACGATTTAACGAGCTCATCATCGACGGAGACAACTCAATGAGAAGTACGGTCGTTCCGCGAGAACCATTTTCGGTCGTGTGCCATGGGGACTTCAATCGAAATAATATTCTGTTCCGGTACGACAAAACGGGACTTCCGGTCGACGTGTTGCTGTTTGATTTTGGAACGCCTCGTTACGGTTCGCCAGCGTTGGATATTTCGTTTTTCTTGTACATGAATACTACTCAAAATTTGCGTGAAAGTAGGTGGGATGACTTACTTAACGCGTACTGCTTGACTTTGGAGGAATTCGTACCACCTGGTGTCCGCGTGCCAAACAGGGCTGAACTAGATTTCGAAATGGCTGCTTGTACTTTATTTGGATTCGCAAACGCATCGTTTTTTGTACCTCATCAATTCGACTCTGRTGCCATATTTAAAGAGGGAATGAGCGATGAAGAAATATTGGAGTGGTTATTACAACTGGGYGGTGACAMTGGAACAGATCTCGTGGCTGATATGGTACAACACATAATCGACATGAAATACACGAATGTGTTACGTAGTTAACGGGTTTTTTAAAAATTATTATTGGTACTGATCTACATAATGTAATAAATTTTATGTTGCTTGAATGTATTGATCAAAATTTTATATGCGTCATACGTATTTATAATACTACTACTAATAATATATGTATATATACTCGTATTATATGTATTATACTGAATACTATGTTTAGTGCCTTGAGTACCTCTTTGTATTATTATTTCAATGTTAGGTTTATAGTGGATTACCGATTAGTTATGACTTTATGAGATAACAATATAATATAGTGGATTAAACCACATATGTATACATAATTATAAATTTATATAATAAACTATAACACGTAGTTGGTTAATTTAAATTTAAATATGCATGAATAAATATTATTTACACTACTGTTCTATTTAAACACAATTCTGTATTCAATCAGTCGTTGATATACTTAGTAGACATTCATATTTTAAAGATTTATGGTTTAATCCTAATTGGTTTTGAAAACTCAGTAACCATCCTATGATATACAAATCATCAACCTACAAAACAAATAACTTAATAAAATTAAGCATTGCTGAGTATATAGGTAGATTAAGAATTAGCTAGAATTTTAATTAATTTTWAAATTTTTAATTAATCTTAGTCTTAATTTATTACACGTTCTACTAAATAATTTTTTTTTTTTTAATTTTAAAATAGAATATTTACAATATGTAACATATGTATACAATAAACAAATAGGATGTCTTGTTTTTTTTTTTAAAAATATTTACATGGTTATATTATGAAGAGGTAAGCTKTTCAGTGACAGAACTMTCAAGTAAATAATTAAATAGTATTTTTACACTGAAATCTGGTGATTTGATTAATATAGATTAAAGAGTTGAAATGCCTTCGAATGTTTTTAATGAAGCGCAAAAATAATATTTATAATTTAACCAACATGTGATGTATGACCATATTATTATTAACTGAAATTAATTAGTACTATGATTGTACGGGAACTAATGAAGTTGAAATTAAGTAAACAAATTAATATCATTGTATCAATAGARTCTTTATTAGGACTGTCTAAAATTATGAGAAATGGTTAATGGTATGGATATTATTATAATTTGTTTATTATTACTAAAATGTATTGATATTGTGTAAGGTATAAGATATCAGTAAATATCCAACTAAACAACACCAACAGCGCAAAACATTTCAATCTCAGCGATAAGCCTACCCTCCAGTGTTTCTAGGCGTCTTCATGATGCCCTTTCTCAACACCAATAATATCAATAAATAAAAAAAAAAGGAAAATACTACACCTAGTTTAACTAATTATTCTTTCTTGTATCATTATTTATTTAATTATGGATGTAAATTACTGTAATTTGTTGTAAATATTGTAATTAATTTACGCTTACCAACTATATATACATATTATATTTTCTATTATATTATCAATAAGTTTGATGACATTGTATGTCAGTAACACTTTATAATGAATAATAATAATAATAAACAAAAAAAATAAGTAAATATACTACATACGATCTCGGTTATTAATATTATTATGGTTCAGGCCAACGAAGTGAATTTGCTTAGACCACAGAGCTATAATTTCACTATTGTAACCTAACGCTGAGTATCTATTTTGTGTATACCTTATACCAAGGTGTGTGTAAAAGTGTGTGGAAACTGGCAGACGTTTAATGAACGATGATTAAAATATACACCTACAGGCTACAATGTATTTTTAATAAAAGTTTTCACGTACAATGTGTACATTAATTGTTTACTGATTTATTTGGGGTACCTATTTACAATACCTTACTAAAGAGAAGTAGAACAACAATAGTTTAAACTAATATTTTTGAAATTTGAAAATAATTACTGTTGCCTTATACTTATTARCTTAATTTTGTAATTCACTCGGATGTTTTAGCCGGTGCGAATCCACAAAATTTGATAAAAAGTCATTTTTTGTAAATATTTTAATCATATGATTTGTACAATTTTTTACAACCGTTATTTATAGGACATAACGTTCTTTGGCGATAGTGTATCAGAGCACGTACTGACTTCTTGTTTTAGCATTCCGTCAACATGTGATATGTGAATGTTCAACGTAATCTGATGAAAACGTTAAACAATACATAATCATATTAAATTTTGATGTTCACACTTAAATGTCATTTTTTTTTCATTAAATACTTTACTTTAAATATTTTTCAAACGTTTTTTTATTTWTTAATTCATAAAATTCGTAGTATCCACTGTTTGAGATATATTAAATATTATATGCTACGGATTCGTACAATAATAAACAAACATGAATATATATCTTATCGTATTRAATAATGGTGATTAATGCAGTAGGTTAGTGATATTTTTAAATTGTTAAATTTAATAGATACTTTTTTATTAAATTTAATTTTACTCAAACAAATGTATAACTATAAGTGAGTTATATCTTATCTTCAAGTACTTGTTTTGTTATAACAGACATGTATTCTATTATTCAACTTTATACATATAGTTAAAATAATAATAAATTKAATTCCATAATATTTTTAAAATAAAATATGAATTATTATTATTTTATGTAATTTACGTTAAATAATGTACCTATATACGATYGCCGTGGTCATTTTATTGACGTAATATATAAATGTTTTATTTGTGATAATTGATAAATTTGTATTTAGAAAATTTTATAATATTCCATTGTCTCTACAACTGTTAGATTCCTAAAATTCCAATGGTCTATGATGAAACGGGTTTTAATAAAATAAAACCTATTGTAATTGTTTGCTAATTATTATATAAATTCATAGTAGCCATAAGTTGTATA